GCAATTTTATAGACACCGAAGGCATACAATTCAATGAAACCGTTTTGGGTTCCGATGGCCAACACATTCAGCGTCTTCTGGTTCTCCACTTTCATCATATCATTCACGTTATCGTCGTGTGTCTTGCGGTTGCCTCTCATGAAGCCTTTGGACACAGAGTTTGCTTTTGGCAGAAGACTAATAAATGGCGAAATCGCGGAACAGTTGTCCGACAAATCGAAATACTTGTGGTTATAATTGGAGTGAAAGTCGCCGAAAGAGTTGGCATCCGAGCCCTCCTTCTGCTGCCAATCAATGGCATTGATTTTGCCGTCGATGACGATCTTATGGATCATTTGGGAGGTCTCGACGTCGTGTAACACCAGACAAGACGTGGTGTCGTCCGCATCGCTGGAGTCGATATCCGACTCGTAAGCGACGGCCAATATCTTGCCGTCTGGTCTCCAATCCATGTCTTTGACGAAACACTTGTCGTCGCTCTTGTTGTCGTTGGATGTGGTCTTGAGCTTAGGTTTCGGCAAATGCCACACCTTTTGCCACGAAACCAATCGGTGGACAACGATATCACCGCTTCTTAGGGCCACAACTATTAAATCCATTTTTGGGTTCCATTTCATTGAATCGATTTCACCGGAGATGTGGCCCGCGATGTCATCCAAACACCGGAACGACAGCATTGTCTCGATATATGTCTTCTATGTCTTCAACATTTGACCGAAAATGCAAAATTCAAATCAAACCCCAAAACAATGTGTTGTTTATTGAAAACGTCTCTCCAATTGACAGCTTTTATTCCCCGTCCCCTCAACCCGTGTGTTAACACTTGCAATACCCTCACAATTGTCCCCAACATTCCCCTCCAACCCCTCAATTACTGCATACGATATGTAGAAATACTGAGCAAACCATTGAACGTAATGTATGAACGACTCACTGATGAGACAAATGCTGAATCACTTTCCGATTGTTTTTCAGTGAATAAAGTGTTTGAAAATTGTTTCACTCTTTGGGTCTTTAATTGTCCGCTAATTATCTGTTGACTTGTGTTGAGTGACACATCCCTGAAGACAAGATGTCGAGAGGAAGTTCTGCCGGATTTGATCGACACATCACTATATTCTCACCCGAAGGACGTCTATATCAAGTCGGTATGTATTGAGACAATCAATTGGTTGTCATCCAAGACCACGAGTGCTATTAATGGGTGATCTGTCGCACAGAATATGCGTTTAAAGCCATCAATCAGTCGGCGATCACATCGTTGGGACTGAAGGGCAAAGACTGTGCGGTTGTGGTGACCCAGAAGAAGGTGGCGGACAAACTGATCGACCCGTCGACGGTCACCAACTTGTATCGCATCACTCCCAGCATTGGTTGTGTGATTACTGGTATTGTTCCCGACTCGACATCACAGGTACTATTACCACAGATATGGTGACTGACAGGTTGTCTAATGACTGTATGACTGACCCATAGGTGCAAAGAGCGCGCTATGAGGCGGCGAACTTCAAGTATAAGTTCGGGTATTCAATGCCTATAGAGGTGTTGTCCCGCAAACTGGCGGACATCGCACAGGTGTACACACAGAACGCAGAGATGAGACCATTGGGCACATCCATGATGTTAATCGCTTACGAAGAAGGTATGCATTCATACAACTCTTTAGTGTGTAATCATTGTAATGGCTGTGCATTGATGTGCCCACAGGTAAGCCATTGCTCTTCAAGACAGACCCGGCCGGCTATTACTGCGGATACCGGGGCTGTGCTGTGGGTGTGAAGGCAGTTGAGGCGCAGAATCAGTTGGAGAAGAAGCTGAAGAAGCGAACCGATTATGACGAGAAGGAGACCATTCAGTTGGCCATCACAACCCTCTCCAATGTGTTGACCATTGATTTCAAGCCCAATGAGATACAGGTAGGCGTTGTGGACAGCAGTGGACTATTCCGGGCGCTCACCGAACAAGAGATCGAACTCCACTTGACTTCTATTGCAGAAAAAGATTGAATTTATATTTATTTTTAATCTGATTTCGTATAATAAATAAAACATTTTTTAATTTTAAAAAATTTAAATTCTTTTCTCTTTGTATTTACAGTATTTTGAAAATTATTAATGAATAAGGAATTAAAATATTCAATGAACGCTATCATAGCCTATCAATATTTATTTATACCCTATAATTAAGAGATGCTCTCATTTACATGAGTTGATGAAATTTTTATGGTATCAAAGCTTATTTGTATTAATAGCATAAGCCCTCATCCCTTATCGCGTCTCATATATTCTTTTAAAATCAATTCTTTAGATAATGTGTTTTATATGGTATCACAGAATACGGAATTGGATTCAATGAATTTTTATAATTATAGTATCCTTAAATTAAGTGCAGTATATATTAAGTAAACATCCAATAAATAAATTATTTTAATTATTCTAAGTTCAATGAATTAAATTTCCATACTGTATACAACTTTGCACTATATTAATAGGGGATTCAAATCATTCTGCATTTGTATACTGAATTGTATGATAAACTCTGGTCTATCATGTTTATGTTATTTATTATTTGTTATAGTAGTTAGTTAATTAGATTATACTATAATTGGATTACCAAAAAAGCATAGTTGTATAAATGCATAGGGTAGAGTCTAAAAATTGTGAAATAATCTATGGTTTAAGTGACCAAAACTGAAGTTCTCATTGACTAACAGCTTATTTATTTACTACAAGTCTACCTATTGTGCTGATGTGTAGAATAAGTTCTAAAATACTTAATACAGAATATAAAAACAAAATTTACTAATACAAAATATTAGTTCAGATTTATTGTGCTGTTAATATACAGTATTTAACGAATAAATTTTTCTTGAAATTAATAATTGCATACTTATGGTAATGCAGTATTTAAAAAGTAAAATGACATTTGTTAACAATATAAGGATTACTGTATTTAAGCAATACATAAGAAGTTTCCTTTGAAGATTTTTTAATTATAACATAAAGAGTCTAATCAAACAGACTTTAGATCTTATCAAAAGATTAAAACCGTAAATGTAAACTGAATAATCTTTCAAATATTAAATTCTGATATTAACATTATTTTTTATGTAATACTGTATAACTTTTACAATTTCTTTTAAACCAGAATCTTTCATCTATTATATTTAGTTTCTCGGGTTTGAAATATAATTTAGATTTGAATTCATGAATTTCTATGAATGAGATTCTGTTGAATTAAAATAAAAATATAATTAATCACAAAGTAATTCACACCAGACTGTTGTTTACATTTCTATTTATACTGTTGATAATTAAAGTAAATGATTTATTATGACTAATCCGATGATAATGAAGCAATAGTATTATATATTAAACAATAAGCAATATATTAAACAATATTATTAATTATTCCCTTCAGCTATATGTCTGTTATTCTTGATTTTAAGAATAAATTAAGCTTTTATTGAAAAATTCTTTTATAATTTGAATAAACAGTAGTGTATTAATAAAATGTAAAGCATCTGGTCACTCTATATGTTTATTAAACGTCTATTGAATAACATGTATTTTATCCGAACTTAGAGGTTGTTATCCCATTAGTACTGATCGATATAATTATTCTCAGCAAACAATTATTGCAAAATCATTACTTGAGAGCAAATGAGTATCAAAAAATTAATGCAAAATCATGTCTTAATGTTGTTTTGATATTTTAACTTTAAAAAAGATATTTAAATTTATATAGATATGTAATATCGGTAAATCTATTTTTTAAATTTATTGAAAATTATATCAATTTAATATTTCTTACTCGTTAATTATAAGTTATTTCAAGTTTTACATAAAAGAACATTAACGTTATAATTTATAACTTATAAAATATAAAACTAAATTTTATAAAATCTTAAAACCTAATGAAATCTAAAAGATGAGTACATTTAGTGATAATCTGGTATAATATGATGTGAATTAACGGCCGCCGCTTAACACGCCCTGAGATGTGACGGCACTTGAGTTGATGTCAGACTCAATGCGAGCGTTCACTCGACTCTGGTATGAATGGCATGAATATGAGGTGTAGTTTGAAAAGTATAGTCATTATGTAATGTATAGAATAGCGAATAGTAGTGTGTATTGAATGTGTTGAACACCTGTTCCGCAATCACTGGTCCATTAGATTTAACTCGCAGTGAATGCTTGCAAAGAAAGTTCACTTTTTCACTATTTTCCCATTTTGTACATTATTTAAAAGTTTTGAAATACTTAGTTTCTAGTCAAATGAACTGATATTTGACACTAATTTAATGAAAAGTATATAAAAAGTAGTTGAATTTGATAAAAATTGAACCAAATGTTAGTTCTGAGAGAAGTTTTTATCTACAAAATCAATGTTTTCATAATAAGTTTGTTGCATATAATTGGTGTTGCGTTGAGTGACGAGTTTTTAATGGGTTATATCACTGGCAGTGAACGCCAAACAGGTGATGAGGAATACTCGAGACCTGGTCTTCAAATATCAGGCGCCATAAGTTTGGCCGTCACAGAGATCAATGAACTCCAGCCTCTGGTCAACAATCATACCCTCGATTTCATGATCGCCGAGACCTATGGCAATGAATCGGAGAGTATCCGACAAACGGCTAAACTCTGGTCCGATGGCAACATCTCGGCCTACATCGGGCCACAGGAGAGCTGTGTCTTCGAGGCACGAATGGCTCATTCATTCAATCTTCCGATCATTTCTTACGTGAGTTCTGCTCTTTTAGACATTTCCTCATTAATTAGGTGTGAATTCAGTCACTCTTATATCATATGCTCGAAGAGTGTGTCATGAAGTTTGACGACAGACTCACATGA